TTGTGGTTTGTCTTGTCAGGGGGTTGGTTCCCAACCAGTCTCTACCTCTCCTACCTTTCCTACCTCTCTACCATTAACTGTGTAAGGTGTGTTCTGCCAGTCTTCAGGTTGTTTTTAGAGTTAGTTGTACAGATGTGACTGTTGTCTTGGTGTGCTCAGGGGACAGGGTGAGCTGAAGATTCTCGTACTCCACCATCTTGGTTCCCCACCCTGGGTCCTGTTTTTTAATTCATTCTGATAATGTCTTTAATTAGTGTGTTTATAACATTTACATGTAGTGTAATTATAAATATGGTTGGATTTAGATCCAACATCTTATGATTTATTTTGTTTGTTCCTTCAATATTTTGTCCCTTTATTTTAATTCATCTCTTGTGATTTTGACTATTATCTCTGTACAGTTTTTCAAGAGGTTTCGCTAGGAATTTTATATATATATGTGTGTATATATATGTATATATATGTGTGTGTGTGTATGTGTGTATATGTATGTACACATACGTATACATATATATGTATCTATACATATATACGTATATGTGTATATATATACATACACATATACATATACACACATACATACATATATAACTAATAACATATTAGCAGGCCCACATTGTCAAGTGCGGGGCTCAGTCCCATGAATCATGAGATTATGACCTGAGCCAAAATTAAGAGTTGGATGATTAGCCAACTGAGCCACCCAAGCACCCCAACGTTTAATAATTTCAAGTGACATGTTGAAACCTTTTCACTTTATAGGTCCATTTACCCTTTCACTTTTATGTCATAGTTATATATTATATCTACATAAATTGAAAATTCTATCAGGTAAAAGTCATAGTTCTTGTTTTCAAACATAAGACATTTTATTTAAAAAAAATTTTTTTATTACGTTTATTTTTTGAGAGGCAGAGAGAGACAGAGCATGGGGGGGGAGGGGCAGAGAGACAGAGATGCAGAATCTGAAGCAGCCTCCAGGCTCTGAGCTGTCAGCACAGAGCCCGATGTGGGACTCAAACTCAGGAACCAGTAGATCATGACCTGAGCCGAAGTCAGACGCTCAACTGACTGAGCCACCCAGGCGCCCCCTCAAACATAAGACATTTAAAACACTCAGAACTAGATCACTGTATTTGCCTATTTCTGTTCTCCTTTTTTTTTTTTTTTTTTTTTTAATTTTTTTTTCAACGTTTATTTATTTTTGGGACAGAGAGAGACAGAGCATGAACGGGGGAGGGGCAGAGAGAGAGGGAGACACAGAATCGGAAACAGGCTCCAGGCTCTGAGCCATCAGCCCAGAGCCCGACGCGGGGCTCGAACTCACGGACCGCGAGATCGTGACCTGGCTGAAGTCGGACGCTTAACCGACTGCGCCACCCAGGCGCCCCTGTTCTCCTTTTTTCCTGATGCTCTAAGTTGCCTTCTGATACCATTTTGCTTCTCTCTGAAGAATTTCCTTTAGAACAAATCTATTAGAAATGAATTCGTTTTCTTCTGAAAATGGTTTTTATCTCACTTTCATATGTGAATGGTATTTTTGCTGGGTATAGAATTCTGGGGTGACAGTTCTGTTCTTTCTGTATTTTAAGTGTTCCACTTTCAGTTTCAATCATTTTGGCTTCTGGCCATCCTGATTCTGATGCAAGATTGATAGTCCTTCAAATTGTTGGTTCTTTATAAGTATCATCTGTCTCTTACTGTTTTCAAGAATTTTTCTTTGTTTTTAGTTTTCAGAAATTTGATTATGATGTGTCTCAGCTTAGACCTACTTGGATTTATCCTGTTTGCGTTTTGCTGAGGCCTGAAAATGATGAAGACAGGAAGATTTCTGAGGAAGAGACAAAGTGTTGCATAATTTAAGCTCATAAATAACTGTTCCAGCTAAATATGTTTCCATGTTACTTTTTGCTTTTGTTTCCATATTACTTGATTGACAAGTTAGAATGTAGTTGATAGGAAATACAAACTATAATAGTATTTTAACTTCTGTTACTATTACGTCTTTTCAGCAGAGGGCTTTTTCAATCCATTCATAAAATAAATATTCTAGTATATTAATGATTGTTATACATTCCTAGAGCATAGAGAGACAACCTTATAAAATCCACTGGGAGATGTTAAAAACAAAATCCTTTAGGAATGGTTTTAGTCCTCATTTCGTCTTTAATATTTTTCCAGGGGCACCTGGGTGGCTCAGTCGGTTAAGCGTCCATCTATTGGTTTCAGCTTAGGTCATGATTTCATGCTTTGTGAGTTCAAACCCCACATCAGACTGTGCTGACAGTGCAGAGCCTGCTTGGGATTCTCTCTCTCTCTCTCTCTGCCCCTCTCCCACTCTTTCTGTCTCTCTCCCAAAAATAAATAAACCTAAAATAATTTTTTTAATTAAAAAAAATAAAAATTTTCCAGATTTATCTACAAATAAAGCATGCACTGGGCCATATCTTATGCTATCCAAAAAAATTTTCTATCCATGTTTTGAATACTGTGGCCAGTTTTTTCCTATTGGAATAAGATGTTTCATGGAGTTTTAGAGTCCATTTGAGGTTTCATCTGGTGCTATCAAGTCACCATTCTGATTGTGGCAGCTCTTACCTTTATAGATTTTACAACTTGATCATCCCATGTTTCTTTTTGGAATGTCAGACCAGATTTTGCGTGTCTGTGATGGAATCTTTGAACTTCTCCATAGATTTATGATTTTATTGTTTTATCTGAGGCCCCTGCATAAGGACTTGTGGTCAAAGAACTTAGCTTATAACACACTTTAAAGTAGTTCTGTACTTACATATGTATGTATACTAGTACATACATAGAATGTTAGCTTGTATAGTATTTTTATTGTGTGTTGTCTATTTTAGGTAGTGTCAAGCTATCAAATATAAGTCAGTTTGTCCCCTCTTCTCCCTCCCTGTTTGTTTTGTTCTGTTTGTTTTTGTGGGTTTATTGGTAAGGGGACTTTAAATAACGAAACTTTTACTCTGAAGGATCTAGTGTTTCATGGTAGTGGAGTTAATGGCAGATATGGTGACTTAAATATGAAAGGAAATCTGTATTATTATCCATCTGTAGCATTTGGTAATTCTCTTAAAAAGTTTGGAGAAACGACAGGACATTGTTGGATGCTAATGTTTTCCTAGAAGCAGTATCTTGGATAGACACTGGATAGTTGTCCTTCTGTGTTTTAGCTAGTATGGGACATTGATAACTAATGACCCTTTTGCTTCTCATTTTTTCAAGTACCTTTTGCTAAACCTCTCAAATCTTAGAAGACAAATCTTTTGGTTGTTTTATCTGGGGAGCCAGAAGTTGTATTAATTTCCAGCTTGTTTAATTTTGGAAGCTCTCTAGAAATGTCCAGTCACATATTGAAGATTTTGTAAATTGGCAGTTTTACCCTTTAATTTATTCTAATTGAATCCTATTATTCAGGTTTGAACTAGTACAGTAGACTCTAACAGTCACATTCTGTAGCAAATTTCTGTCTTCCTAAAGTTGATGAAATCCTTAATTATAGCCGTTAACTGGGATCCATATGAGAGTTTTAACTTATAGAGCTGGCTTCTGGCCTAGTAATTTTATAGTGTGATTTTACTTTTTGAGAAAACCCTGAAGAGAGTATGGCTCATATAGAAGGTAAGGTAAAACTTAGTACAAAGAGAAAATTTGAAGATAGTAAGTTTCAGGGGCACCTGGGTAGCTTAGCTGGTTGTGTGCCCAACTCTTGATTTCAGCGCAGATCATGATCTCACAGTTCATGAGATCAGCACAGAGCCTGCCTGGGATTCTCTCTCTCCCTCTCTCTGCCCACCCCCAGTTTGTGGCCTGTCTGTCTCTGTCATTCTCAAAACAAATAAACAAACAAAAAGATGGTAAGTTTCAGAATGTTTACATTTTTGAGAGAGATTATTTTAGAATTAAAATTTGTTTTGAGGTCACTGCATATCAAATGATGAAGCTAACTAACTGTTTCATATTTTGTCTCCTAATATTTTGAGCTCCTCTTAAATATTTATTGATTTTAACATATCAAAAATTTCTGATAATGGCTGGTGCTCTAAGTAATATATTTTTTTTAATTACTAAGGAAAGTGCAAGAGTTAGGATTATAATAGTTCCTATAAGAAGTAGTTCCTCCAAAAGAAGGACACTTTGACGTAGCATGACACATAAGAGACCACTTTGGCTGGTCAGTGTGTGTTGTGAATGGGGTCTCAGGTCACCTAACTAAGCAGAGGCTAGGAAGGATCTCCTAGTTAGTGACTGAGAATCATGAACCACAGAATATAGACTAATAAAGTGACCTTTTTCACAAATAACAAGATGACAGAGCGCCCTCATGAAGAGCACAAATTTTTTTTTATTAAAGATTTTATTTTGGGGCACCTGGGTTGGTTAAGCATCTGACCTCGGCTCAGGTCAGAATCTCGCTGTTTATGAGTTCGAGCCCCCCGTCGGGCTCTGTGCTGACAGCTCAGAGCCTGGAGCCTTTGTCTCCTTCTCTCTCTGTTCCTCCCCTGCTCATGCTCTCTCTCAAAAATAAAAACATTTAAAAAAAATAAAAATAAAAAGATTTTATTGTTCAGTAATCTCTACACCTAAACATGGAACTTGAACTTAAAACCCCAAGATCAAGAGTCGCATGCTCTACCAGCTGAGCCAGCCAGGTGCCCCAAAAGCACAATTTTTATACAATATAAAATGTGTTCACTTGATTTGTGCTGCTTTTCCCCACCATAGATTCAGGGTGTTTTAAATACATTCTGATTATTTCTGCAAATCATTTATATGCTTTAATTTTTTTACTATTATAAATTCACTTTCAAGCTTATGCCATCCTAACAGAAGCAAAACTGCAAGGGTTCTTAGATGTTTTTTTCTCCCCATGAACAGTCCTATAACAATTGTAGCTTAAGAAGCATATCTATGTTAACATGAACCTAAAATAATAAAATGGTATGCTGGCTTTGTTTTGAATCTTGATTTTAATTTTATAGGTATTCCTTTAGAAATGAGTTGCACAATTGAGAAGGCACTTGCTGATGCTAAAGCTCTTGTTGAAAGATTGAGAGATCATGATGATGCAGCAGAATCTCTGATTGAGCAAACCACAGCTCTTAACAAGCGGGTAGAAGCAATGAAGCAGGTTTGATTTTTCTTCTTTCTTGTTGATTCTTTTTTTAAAAAGCAGTCCTAGACATTTATGTATTGCTTGAATCATAAATTTCTGCCTAATTAGTATTTAGGTATTTTTTAATGTTCTATAGAATTTAAAAGTAGCTTGACTTCTATGTTTTAATTTTACTTTACGTTATCATATAATTTTGTCACATCCAGGTGACAGTATATATGCATGTATACTCTAAAAACTATAGATTTGATCACTTGTTTTCCTGACAGAGTTGCACATTGGAGTTTAGAAAATATATGAATATATTAGGTTCATATATATATGACAAAAACCAAATAATAACTTTTACTAATAGTGACACATACTTTTCTCTCATATTTTTATAATGTAATGTTCATATTTTTCTCTGTAAAAGTACTTAGTGATGTTATTTAACAATGAAGTAGTTTTTGAAAATGATGTAAGGCAGTATCTGGTTTATACATTAGGCAGTTGTTGAATTTGTACTTACTACCTTGTTTTTCATTTAATGCTATCAATAAAAGAAGAAATGAAAAGGGCTTCACTTCTTATTCTTTTATATAAGAACTTGCATATGAGAATTTTCCAGTGGTCCATGGAGTTCAACTATCATTTTAAGCCTTATGATAAAAATTTTCAACTCTAAGAGAAATATAAAATCTCTGCTATTATGATGGAAATCAGGGGAGATGTATATTCATAGCCTACTCTTGTGAAACTCATCCATTTTGTAAAAGGAAGCAATCCTGGGATGATGCTTTTAACAAAGCTACTAGAAATAATGGAGCAAATTTACTTGTTTTGTTGCCCTAAACAGATTACCTATCTCCCTAACTATCCAGTTTGACTCATGCATTCCAGTAAACATATCTGGTATTGAGTTGTAAAAACAAAAGAGTTTGACAACTAAAGTTAAAAACCAAGAATGTTATAATTAATACATTACTAAGTGGAACATTAAAATGCCTTGAATATAGAGGCGCCTGGGTGGCTCAGTCCGTTAAGTGTCTGACTCTAGGTTTCGGCTCAGGTCATGATATCATGGTTTTGAGAGTTTGAGCCCCACATGGGGCTCTGCGCTGACAGTGTGGAGCCTATTTGGGATTCTCTGTCTCTCTCCCTCTCTCTGCCCCTCCCCCCCCCCACACCGTCTCTGTCTCTGTTTCTTTATTAAGAAAATAAATAAACTTAAAAAATTAAAAAGAAGGGGCACCTGGGTGGCGCAGTCGGTTAAGCATCCGACTTCAGCCAGGTCACGATCTCGCGGTCTGTGAGTTCGAGCCCCGCGTCGGGCTCTGGGCTGATGGCTCAGAGCCTGGAGCCTGTTTCCAATTCTGTGTTTCCCTCTCTCTCTGACCCTCCCCCGTTCATGCTCTGTCTCTCTCTGTCCCAAAAACAAATAAACGTTGAAAAAAAAAATTAAAAAGAATAAAATGCCTTGAATATAAAGGAGTACAGTTTTAAAGTTAGATTCACATTAAAAATTTTTTCATTTCTTTTGCCCATGTTCTTTTACTATTATTATTGAGATATAATTCACAATACCCGTAAATAAAAGGTACCCTTTTGAAAGGTATAGTTCATTGGATTTTGGTACATTCACAGGTTGTGCTACCATGATCACTGTCTAATTCCAGAACTTCCCATCACCCCCCAAAGTCCACCTCTGTTAGCAGCCACTCCCTTGGCTTTCCCTTCCCTCTGGCAACTAATCTTTCTATCTCTATGGATTTGTCTATTTGGGATATTTCATGTAAATGTTGTTCTATATGTGGCTTTTTTGTGACTTTTTAAAATGTTTTTGTAGTTCATCCATGTTGTAGCATATATCAGGTTTTTTTTTCCTTTTAATTGCTGACTTAATATTCCATCATATAAGGATATAGTGTATTGTGTCCATCAGTTGATGGACATTTGGATTGTTTCTATTTCGGGGCTATTATAAATAATACTGCTATGAATATTTGTGTATGTTTCTGTATAAACATATATTTCTAGTTATCTTGGGTATATACCTGGGGGTAGAATGGATGGGTCATATAATGGCTGTGTTTAACTTTTTGAAGATCTGCCAGACTGTTTTCCAAAGCAGCTACACCATTTTACATTCCAATCAACAATATAATAGTTTCTCCACATTCTAACACTTGTTATTTGACTTTTTGATTAAGATCATCCTAGTGGTTGTGAAGTTGTATCTCACTGTTATATTGAATTGCATTTCTCTAATGACTAATAATATTAAGCATCTTTTTATGTGCTTATTGGCCATTTGTATACCTTCTTTAGAGAATTGTCTCTTCAGACCCCTTGCCCATTTTTTCCCCAGCTTTACTGAGATAGAATTGACATACAACATTGTGTAAGCTTAGGGTGTACAAGATGATTTGATACACATATGTATTGCAAAGTGATTACCACAGTAAGGTTAACACCTCCATCGCCTCACATAATTACCATGTATGTGTGTGTGATGAGAACATTTAAGATCTACTCTTATTAATTTCTAACCATAGAATACAATATTATTAACTATAGTCACCATGCTATACATTAGATCCCCAGAACTTATCTTATTTGCCCATCTCTTAATTGGGTGGTCTTCTTATTGTTGAGAGGTTTAAGAGTTCTTTATATATTCTGGATATTAAACCCTCATCAGATATATATCTCAGAAATATATTTTCAAATATTTTCTCCCCACATGTTCTTTTTTAATCTTTTCATTAGTATCAGGAAGAAATTCAAGAACTTAATGAAGTTGCAAGGCATCGGCCACGGTCCACATTAGTTATGGGAATCCAGCAAGAAAACAGACAAATCAGAGAATTGCAACAAGAGAACAAAGGTAAGATATATATAATCACTTCATTCCAGTGAACATATGATTGTAAAAACAACGGAGTTTGACCACTAGAGTTAAGAACCAGGAATGTTATAATGAATTAAGTTACTAAGTGGCTCATCAAATGCCTTGAAAATAAAGGAGTTTAAAAAATTTTTTTCATTTCTTTTGCACATGTTCTTTTGTTACTGTTTACTATTATTTGTTACTCTCATCCACATACCATAAAATCTACACTTTGAAGAGGATAGTGCATTGGATTATAGTTAAAATTAGTTACATTTAGTTAAAAGAGAGCTTTAATTTACAATTGGACTATTAATTTGGAACCAGTAGGGCAATGGCCAGCTAAATTTACTCTCTGTTACTAATCTTATTTCTGGTCCATATGTCTAAAATCTATGTATTAGTTTTTATCCCTTTCCTATATATGAGTGTCTACCTTGCTTGGAGTCATCTTAGGTTCTCACCCTCAATATCCAGTTTGTACCATTGTTGTTACCTATGAAATAATTCCCTTTCTTTCTCTGTGGTCCCACTGCTTTGGCTTCTTGCTTAGGCGTTCCTAATCACGTCCCTGAACTGTCCTCATTGGTCTCCCTGATTGCAGTCTCTTTTCCCCTTCAGTCTATCTTCAACACAGGCATCAGATTAATTTTTCAAAGATCTATCTGATCATGCTATTCTTTTGCTTTAGAACCTTCACTGTATGCTTATTTCCTTATCCAAAAGCCTTCAAAATTAACTCTAAGCCTTTTTTTTCTTTTTCCCATACCTCTCTTCTCCATGAAACCTTTTTTCTTGCCATCCTGAACTAGTCCCTCAACACAGCATCCACTGTCATGCCTCCCTATTCAGAATGTCTTTTCCTTTATTTTTCAGCTAAGAAATGCAAATTAATCTCAGTAATGTAAAGCTTTCACCACTTTTTCCTCACAGACTTCTCTCATATATATTTGGGTAGAGCTCTATTCTGTACTTTATACACTGTATTATAATTATTTATGTATTGGCTTTCTCGACTAGACTGTGCGCTCCATGGCCTTTTGGGAGTTCCTAATATACAGCATTATCTGGTATTTAATTGTTATTCAGTAAATGTTTGTTGAAATGATTCTATAAAAATTAGTTTTAAATGGTTATTCAAAAAACTAATAAAGGACTCTATTTGGTATCCTTTCTTTTTTTTTTTTTAAATTTTTTTTTTTTCAACGTTTATTTATTTTTGGGACAGAGAGAGACAGAGCATGAACGGGGGAGGGGCAGAGAGAGAGGGAGACACAGAATCAGAAACAGGCTCCAGGCTCCGAGCCATCAGCCCAGAGCCCGACGCGGGGCTCGAACTCACGGACCGCGAGATCGTGACCTGGCTGAAGTCGGACGCTTAACCGACTGCGCCACCCAGGCGCCCCAATATCCTTTATTTCTTTATGGCAAGATTTTTTCATATGTGTTCTTGCCAAAATACCCTCTTTATAAAGTTGCTTTTTTGATAAATGTAATTGGGAAGAGACTATTTTGTACATCTTTAACTCAAGTTTCAGTAAAATATACTGTTATTCTTGTTGTTCTTGATAGAATTGCGTACATCTCTGGAAGAACATCAGTCTGCCTTGGAACTTATAATGAGCAAGTATCGAGAGCAAATGTTTAGACTGCTAATGGCTAGCAAAAAAGATGATCCAGGTATAATAACGAAGTTAAAAGAGCAGCACTCCAAGGTAATCCATTTTATAAACATAATTTGAAATGAAAAGAAGCACAAATCAGTTAACTTGTGTTGAGATTTTTTTTTTTTTTGCTGTTGTTAAATCACAGGTATCTAACATGATACTGAATACTTCATCTTTCTGAAATTTTCTGCTTTTCCTTATTTTTTTCATTACTTGTTACATATTTTGATTATCCTCCTAACTCCTTTTGTCCCCTAATAGCTTTAACATACTTTCAAAAATAAATTTTATTTGGGAAGTTAAAGGTAAGTGTATTCAATTCAAAATTATTCTGTAAGGTTATCTGCTTTTAAGAAATATTTCTTCTAATATGTGTGTTGACATTTGTTGCGAAAACAAAAATTGAAATGTTGAAAACATTTCAGAAATCTGAAACCAGCTAAAGGTAGATTTCTTAAGACTATTTACTGAATGAGGCTACTTCATCCAGATTATACATAATACTGAGTATGATGGAAAAAACCATGGGCGGCTGGGAAGGAAAAGAACCAACATCTTAAAATTTTGCCCCCTGCTGCCCCCAGGCGCAGATCAGTTAGCACCATTTTTAGAGACAGAGCCCAGCTGGTTAGAAATTTGTGTCTTTCCCTCTGCTCATTTTACTTATTGACATCCCTGTGTGTTTCCTTTTTGTATGTCCCTGTGTTTGTTAGCAACTGCTATAAAGACAAGTAGAATAATCCTTTCCTGTTTACATTTTAAACTGAGTTTTAACTGCTGGTGTGAAATAAAAATATTAGAATACTGTGATTTCTAGCTATTATCTGTATTGGATAATGGTGAACTAACTATTAGTTATAACTAACATTTAAGAAATACTGTTGTAAGACATGTTTTCATCTTTCTCAATTATTGAAATACATTTTAGAGTCCTTAAGATAATTCTTAATTCTTCCATCTTAGTGCTTGTGGGTATTTTTAAGTTATTATTCTATTAAAATTAAATACCTAGTAAATCTTTGTGTGACAACTTTACATTATTAAGGAAGTTAGTTATAGATACTTCTTGTGTCAATAGTAAAATAGATTAATAAATAAGTGTTTAATGTTATCTAATTACACTATTCATCTTCTAACTGAAGGGGAATAACCTTGGATGTTTAAGTGGCAATCTTTTGAACATAAATTTATCTATTGTTAGAGATCATTATAAAAACATTTAAATTTAATTGTATAACTTGACTGTTTCTTTTAAAGGTACAAAGATGAATTGATTTAAATTATTGGTAAAATAAATTTAAATTGATTTAAATTATTGGTATAATCTTCAGAAATTCCAAAAGCCCCTAGTGTTTAAAACCTAAGAAATTTTTTAAGATCTAAAGGGAATACTCTGACCAAAAAGTGTTTAGCATAAGATACTGCAGGTTGCTAAGTTGTCTGGTAGCAACTATGCCAGAAGCAAATGTTTTCTAAAACACATAAGATTTTGCCATTCACTAGAGCAATTTCATTAATCCATAAAGTTAAACATTTCTTAAGATAGCTGTAAACCATCCTTTTTTACTATGGAGATTGAATTCATCTAAGTGCTGATCCTTACCTTCCATAAAATGACTGTTCAGTTACTTGTTGTTAATTCTAACTAATACATATTAATGTTTGTGATTTTGATTTTTCCCAAAAAGGAGACACTTCAACTCAAATAAACATTTATTAACACTTGCACTGGCTTAGTTATTAATCATAAGATGAATGAATACATATGTTCCATTACTTTGCCATAGGAGCTTACAGTGTAAAGGGAGATAGAAACATATCGAATATAAGATAGGATGTGATGAATCCTAAAATAGAGATATCATTTAATATGGGAATATGAGTGGAAGTAAGATTAGTTCTCATGAGGAGAATCTGGAAAGGTGTCAAGAAAGGAAGAAAAATCCCATCTAAATCCAGCCTTGAGTTAATTATTAGAGGGGGGGAAGTGTCAACAAGCAGAAGTGGGTGAGCAGAGACACTTGTGTGATAAAGGTGCAGAAATAAAAGATTCCAGGATGTGTTTAGCTATTGACACTCTGATAAGCCTAAACACAAAAAAATTTTATAACACATTTAGATTAACAGAGTTACACATAACAGCATTTTGGCGTGAGACCATTTTGAAACCACCGTGATACAGAATTTCTCCCTCACTTAGAAGTTTTTGAGCACAGATTTAAAAATCAGTAAAAGGTTTGAGAAGAACTCATTTTTATCCAAATACTCATTTTTACGTTATTTTTGAACAGATGCCTTTTTGGAAATCTTAAAAAAACAAACATTTCAAACAGTTGGCTAACACGCATGAACTAACACTCATCAGTTTTTAAATTACGGATAATATCCGTATTAACATTATAATGACTCTATACTACAGATTGACATGGTACATCGTAACAGCTCCGAAGGATTCTTCCTTGATGCATCTCGACACATCTTTGAAGCATCTCAACATGGACTGGAGAGGAGGCACTTGGAAGCAAATCAGAATGTACACTAAATAAAACAGTCAACTTTTGGGGTGTGGATGGAAGGGGGGAGGTCCATTTAAAACGTTCTTTTACATTGAATTTTCCTGCCAGTTTAAATCAACAAATAAATGAACTTGCTTTTTAAAAATGCTGTGCTTTTGATAGCCATGCAAAAACATTCAGTGTAGAAACTTTAAATCTGTCATTTCTCTGTGTATTGTATCATACACAGCCTGTTAGGTAATTGCAGGCTTTAAAGGTTGTTCAAGCCAGCTTTTCATTTTATCGCTGCAAAATTTTAGTAGTCTCTAAACAATTACCCTCTTTGGGAACATCAAAGATGTTTTCTTGGCAGTCATTTTAATCTAATTTCATAAAAATTTTGCTCAAACTATTTTAATTCAGATTTCTGATGGTTAGTAGTCCTTCAGTTTGAGGTCACAGTTACCTAAACATGCCTTTGTTTAGGTGTTATGATTTAATAGCATACACTAACTTGTCTTAACTTTGTTTTAATTGTGGCAAGTCTTGACTGAGCAAAGTTGAATAAACCTAAACAAGAGTTAAAAATGAGCATTTCAAGGATGATATCACTGACAATTCAAGGATTATGTTACTGACACCTTGTGCCTTTAAGACTGTTTCGAAAACACAGGTCTTAGCCTCTTGTGTTCATTAAAAGGTCTATGATGCTTCCCTAAAAATTTTATTGTAATAAATGAACTATCCATGAACTGGGTCTAGAAAAATACTACTCTGTTTGAAGTCTTGGGATTTTGTTTTGTTTCATGATTTTATTAGAACAGGCTCTGTCCTGAAAAAATTAGTGGAATCTTGTTTTCTTCCATTTTAAAGGCAAAGAATTATTTCCTTCCTGTACCATCTTTTCACCTAAAAGGACAGTAAATGATAAGCTGAAAAAAGTGTTGGTGTTCAGAATTTTTTCATTATCCTTAATCTGCTGCTGCAGTTATCTGTATTTAACTTGCTTTTAAACATTATGCTCCCTTTCCAGAGGGAGGGGATTTAATCATTTTCAAAAACCTGTTTCAGAATATGACAAATGTTGGTCTTGACACTATTCTTGCTACCATAATCTAATCCAGGACTGTCCAATAGCACTTTCTGAAATGATGGAAATGTTATCTGTGCTGTTCAGTATGGAAGCCACCAGCCACATGTGGCTAGTGAGCACTTGAAGTGTCACTAATGCAACTGAGGAGCTGAATTGTTAACTTTTTAAAAGGTGTTTAATTTTAATTGACATTTATGTAGCATCATATTGGATAGGGTAGATTAGTCCTTTTATTTTGCCGCCTTTTGCATACTAGCATTGTATAGGTTTTTCCATTAAAATAATACAAGGACTTGCATTTTTGTTGGCTAGAAGATATTGTGTGGTTTGCTAAAGATACTGTTTGTTCTCCATATTTCTTTCACAGTTACTAGTTTTATAGGTTTTGGGGGTCGCCTTCAAATCCTTTTTACAAATAGGGTATATACGGCTATTTAAGAGACAAGGTTTGGGGGCACTTTTGAGCTCTTATACTTGATTTTTGACCTTAATGTAATAAAGTCACCCTCAAATGCCAGTGAACAATGGTCTATAGAAGCTGTTTGTTGAGAAATGATTATTCTTAAGTTTCTGCTGGTTTTTAAACCTTGTGTCTGTCTCTTTCACCTGACTAGAAGCTCCTTGAAAGCAGGAAACATGTCTTAATAGGCTTCGTATTCCTATTGCCTAGCACAGTGCCTGGCACATCATGGGTGTGCAAAAATGAATACCACAAGATTGGAAAAAACTTATCTACTTGCTGTACCAAATAAACGTGGATATCTATTTTATACCTAAATTATATTTTGAACAGTTTGCAAAGAAGGCCATTTAATATTTTAATACTTAAAAGCAGACTTATGTTCATTTTACTCAGTATTTATTATTACCTGATCTGTTATGTACCAAACACAGGCAAATATAAACAAGATACAGTTCCTGCTCTCAAGGAGGATTATAACCTGGGAAAGTTTTAGGTTGGATTGAGATCATCGCTTCTTGGCCTTTTGGCTAAGATCAAGTGTAGGTTGGATTGAGATCAATGTTTAGGCATAGATAATAAAGATTTATAAATCATCAAGACTTTAGAGATAAAGAGACTGAATGTGTCAAAAATTTTTGTCTTTCCCATTACTTTAGTAGGTGTAGGTACAAAAAAGGAAAGGTTGTTGATCATTTGTGGTAAGAGGAATGTGAAATAGTACTCTTCTTGCTAGTGGGTTTAGTTGTAATTATGCTGCTTATCCTTATTTATAGTCCTAACAGAAATCTGATTTCAAAAGCACATTCATGGTCAGTCAACTTTCTTATAAATGTGTTTGATATATTACATTCATGTTAAATGGCAATGTAAGAATATTACATTCATATTAAGTGGCAAAGCAGATTTTTTTTTTTTAAAGAGAGTATCCAAAAGTAAAAACAGTTATTTCACTGATTTGCAATTCCCATCTTTTTTTCAGGAATTACAAGCACATGTTGATCAGATAACAGAAATGGCAGCAGTAATGAGGAAAGCCATTGAAATTGATGAGCAACAGGGCTGCAAGGAACAGGAACGAATATTTCAACTTGAAGTAAGTTTTAAATTGTAAATTGGGTGAAAACTGTCCACATGAAGATTTATGCCAGAAAATACATCCCATTTAAATAAATATATACATCTCGGGAAAACTAGTAATGTTCTCTTTCTTAACCTGGATATTGGTTATATGGGTATATAATGCAAGACTATTTCAATAGTAATACAAGAGTCTAGGATCAGTATAACTTATAGCAGTATTTGAGCAAATTGACATTTTTTGATGCTATGTGTTCCTGTTACTGGGTGAATATGCCTTTTAACTTAGTAATTTAAAAAATTTCTTTATTTCTATTGGAGATCATGGTGATGCAGGGAAAATTATTTTAATCTACAAATATTCTTTGGGCATTCGTATTCTTCTGTGGAATATAAAAGCTTTTCTGTCTTTTATTGTGTGGTAGTGAAAGCATAAGTTATTGTTGAATAGTTCAAATCAGTAGACTTTTATACTTTAAAAGCTTCTTTTTGAAATGATGGTGGAGATACTGGTTATAGAGGGCCAAAAGTGATTTCAGTCTCTAAGCATAGTGTTCTCTCATTCTTTAAAACAGGGCTTAGCAAACTTTTTCAGTAAAGGACCAGACAGAAAATATTTTTTTGCAAACCAGACATTCTGTGTTCCTCAACTCTGTGCTACTCAACTCTGTCATTGTAACACAAAAGCAGCCATACACACAAAAAAATATTCAGTTTACCTATGTTCAGTGAAGTTTAATTTACAATAACAGGCCTGAAGCCAGGCTGTAGTTTGCTGATCCTTGCTTTATACCATTGAAACGTAGAAAGTAAGACTGAGAACAAAATAGTTGTTAAATGTCTGCAAATTCTTACAGTAACTAATCTAGAAGAAAAAGAGTTTATCAGTGCTCGATTTGCCCACCTATCCTTCTTGAAAAATCTCAGATCTACTCAACCAGCCCCAATGCTTTCAAATTCCAGTGAGGAAAACCAAACCTTTCCTGTATTCCGTGCTAACATGGAAAGTAGTAAAGGTACTAACTAAAGTCCTAAGAGGTTCTCATCATTGGCTTTGTTGTGTTTATATCGATATAAATCTAGATGTTACTTTTCCTCGTCTATACTGTGATGATAAAATGAGGCCGTTTCTGAGGTTCCATTTACAGTTACAGCTGCATAAATAAGGCGGCTTTGACCTGATGGAAAAGGAGCACAGTTCCTACCTCTTTAAAAAAGTGTTCTCTGGATTCAAGTTTTCAACTTTGTATATTCATTTAGTCTATTTCTGCTCTGCCAATTATAAAACTTTTTGTCATACCTTCTTACGTTTAGCTTAAGATAGGTTTGTATTTTTGTAGCTATCTTGGTGACTACATCTTTTTGTTTGCCTTCTTTTAGCAAGAAAACAAAGGCTTGAGAGAGATCCTGCAAATAACTCGAGAATCATTTCTGAACCTTAGGAAAGATGATGTGTCTGAAAGTTCATCTTTGTCAGCATTAGTGACCAATAGTGACCTGAGTCTGAGGAAGAGCTGAAGAGCCTGTAAGTGTGTGAGCTTCCTGCAAGGCTCCAAATGGTCACTGGGACTGGCCTACTGACATGAATGAACAGAAAAATCCATCTCAACCCTTTATTTTTTTTCTATAGTATGTACAGTGCACTGGCAATGACATTCTTACGCTGGCAAAAATGCAGAATTAATGGTTGTAGATTTTATTCCAAAATATAATAAAAAAATAGAAACTTTGTTAATTGGGGAACAAACTAAAGATTTTTTGAGTGACTGCTGAACCTAATAGCAGTACTGTTGCTATTCTGGCTGATACTTGGATAAACATGAATATTCCCAATAAATGTTTGGGAATTCATAACATTATCCAAATTTTAAAATATACATCTTGGCACAGTTTTGTGAATGGAAGACTGTCATATTAAATGTTATTTCTCCTCCCTGTTTGGTGTCAGAGTTAACAAATAGCTTATGTACTGTGAGATTTCAGCTTTAATGGTTGCCTGTCTACCTTCCCATTACTGTAAATTTTGGTCAAAGAAAATTCAGTTTGCAAGACTGTAGGAATGTTTCAAATGCACCATAAACAAAAGTTAATTTAATTTTAGCTGATTTGCCATAATTAAAATACTCCACTAACAATTATCCATAAGTTTAAGTTTATGAAATATCATTTCAGGAATGAAAGAGAAAGAGTATTACTTTCTAAGAAAGATCTTATAAGAGACATATTAGTAGGTTAAACTACTCCTTTGAGAGATTTAAGTTTTGGTTCTAAATAATGAAGATGAGATTTTTCTCTTCTCTGGTTGATCTTTAAGGATATTAGGTAGTTCTTTTAGCTAACAGAGTTGCAATGTTTGATATAGCAAGCTAGGTATGGTAATGTCAAAGTAAATTGGGGATTCCTCTGCCTCATTGAACCCTTTTTTAAAAGTATTCTTAAGAAATACAGAAAGTAAATTAAAATTTCAAAATAAAATTTGTTTTCTGGTCCTCATAACCTGTAAGATTTTTCTTATACTCTGTCAGTCAAAGGGTGGGGGTGGGGGTGAGAGGAAATCTGTAGATTTATAAGTATTTGTTTTTTGTTTTTTTTTTTTTTTACAAAATCTATATCCAGTATGTAAATTTTTAAAAGCCACTAGAAAAAGAAATGTACTTTAACATCAATTGAAATCTAAATTTTTCTTATTTTATGATTATAGAAGGATAAAAATATCAAATATGATTAAATATACTAATTTATATTAAAATTAGCACAATAGAAAATTCTACTTTTGGGTATGTAATTTGTTAAAGAAATATTCACATGGTAGCTTTTGTGTATAATTTCATATATTGGTAAAATTCAAAGCTACTTTTCACTTTGGAATTTTTGTATATTAAGTTTGGAGTAAGTGGGGCTGATGTGGCTGATTGAAAAGGGCTAATGGCCCAAACACTGAATAGATTCCTTTTTTCAGAGGCCTTAATTGATATTTTATAAATGACAGTTTTTATTTTTAACCTTTTCTATTGGTTTGGGGTAAAGAATCTGTTAATTTGGTGGCACATTCATTCATACAGTTTTTATCCCAAGTCAGAATTAAAAAAAATACACAGTTGAGATGAAGTCTGAGGCAATTCATTGAGGCAGCTCTATTATAAAATGTTTCTTGATAACTATTTTTTTATAAACAAGTTAATTTATTCTTGGTCTTCTTACTTGGATATAATTTTAAGATCTTGGCGTTTAAAGACATTTACTTTGTTACATAGCAACAGTTTTCCATCCATATATTTTTTGTTTTTAAGCAGAACCTTAAATTTATGTCTGAGAGTGTATACTGCATAGGAGCCTATTTTATCAATAAAGATGAGTGGTTGAAATTGATATTGTCTCCAAGTTAATGTGAGAACAATGCTTACATACAGTTTATTTTTCTGGCATTTCATCTCTTACCACAAAACTAGTACTTAGCAACAACTTCTATCTGTATTTCTTAGGAATTGGCCAGCAACTTATTGCTGATCCAGCAAACCTTTTTATAATCATATGTGGTGGACTTAAGAGTGTACCTGCTGCAGGGGCACCTGGGTGGCTCAGCATCCAACTCTTGATATGGGCTCAGGTCATGGTCTCACAGTCAAGAGAATTGAGCCTCGAGTCAGGCTCCACACTGGGCATCGAGCCTGCTTGGGATTCTCTCCCCCTCTCTATGCCCCTCCCTGTCAAAAATCAGTATTAAAATTTTTTTTTACAAAGTGACCCTGCAAAGGCACGTCCAAGTGCTAACCTCCTGTACCTGTGAATGTGGCGTATATATATATATATATATATATATATATATATATATATATATCTTTTCAAAGTTTATTTTTGAGAGAGAAGTGGGGGAGGTAGGGGCAGATAGAGAAGGAGAGAGAGAATTCCAAGCAGGCTCTGCACTGTCAGCATAGAGCCCAATGCGGGGCTCAAACTCACAAACTGAGCTGAAGTGAGATACTTAACTAAGCCACCCAGGCACCCGAACCATATATGTTTTTTAAGTTTATTGGAGAGAAAGAGGGAGAGTGCATGTGCCTGTGAGGCAGGGAGGGGCAGAGAGACAGGGAGAGATAATCTTAAGCAGACTCCAGGCTGCCAGGGCAGAGCCCGACACGGGGCTCAAACTCACGAACCATGAAATCATGACCTGAGCCGAAATCAAGAGTCAGAGACTTAACGGACTGAGCCACCCAGGTGTCCCATACTGACCACATTTTTAATAGTTTTTGCAGATTTAAGGATCTGGGAATTAGATCATCTTGAATTTAGGATGGGCCCTATATCCAGTGACCGGTGTCCTTATAAGAGAGAAGGATATTTGAAACAGGCATAAGGAGAAAGCCATGTGAAGACAGAGGCAGAGAGTTATGCAAGCTGCAGAGCCCTAAGGTGCCAACAGAAGCTAGGAGAGGGGTATGAATTGAATCATCCCTCAGAGCCTCCAGAAGGGGCCAGCCCTGCTTGACATTAGACTTCTGGCCTTCCTGATTTTTCAGAACTGTGAGAGAATAAATTTCTGCTAAGCCACCCTACCTGTAGTAATTTGTTACAGCAGCCCTAGAAAACAATGATCTATTTATCATCTATCCACTACATGCTTTTTATTTTACAGTGGAAATACAATTCTAAAAAACCAGTTCTACACAGCCTCACAGAGTGTTTTCTGCTCATATTGGTATTCTTTACTATCAAGGTGACTTCCAAAATTTTCTATTTCTAAACTGCCTCAATGACCAGAAGATCACAGATCCATAACTCAATTTTTAGTGATCACTACCTTTTTTGACAGAGTAAAATAGGAGTTCATTTTTTAGTGAAATACCAATGAAGAATAATCTCTAATTGAAATTTGAAGGGGCTTTCTTTTTACATCAGTGGCTGCCTCTCAGCCTCCTCTGTCCCTTTCTTCTGACTTTAAGCCCCAGGGCTCAGTCCTTATTCCTGCTCACTTCCTTGGTGATCTCACCCAGTCTCATGACTTTAAATACCACCTGTAATGCTGATGACTCCCAAATTTACAGCTCTCATGAACTCTGGACTCTTCCAACTGTAACTATCAAAGATCTCAGACTTAACATGCTCCAAGCAGTCTTCCCCCCCCAGGCCTCTCCATATGCTTCCCTATCTGAGATGGTGACAACTCCATCTTTTCAGCTGCCAAGGCCAAAAACCTTCCTGGCATCTTTGACTCCACTTTTTCTACCTTGCATCCAATTCATCAGCAAATCCTATTGACCCCCTTCCCTTCTAAATATATCAGAATCCTACCATCTCTCACCATCTCTACTGCTTCCCCTGGTTAAAGCCACATTATGATAGTGTTGGAGTGAGCAAATTAAACCTAAGTATCATACAATAAGGAAATAATTTACTTCCAGATTACTAATTTACTATCAATATCTACCCAAAGCAGTTTATATATACTGTGGCTTAAAGATTCTAGCAACAGGAACAAAAAAATAACTAAATTTACATAATAAAAACCTGAATGCTATACTGCAGATGTAATTACAACCATGTAAAAACTGCATAGCGGGTGGGGTGCCTGGGTGGCTCAGTCAGTTAAGCATCCAACTTTGGTTCAGGTCATGATCTCGCAGTTCTTGAGTTTGAGCCCTGCATCGGGCTCTGTGCTAAGAGCTCAGAGCCTGGAGCCTACTTCGGATTCTATGTCTCCTCTCTCTGCCCCTCTCTTGCTTGTGCCCTCTCACAAAAAGTAAACATTAAAAAAATAAATAAAATGCATAGGGGGAAATGTCCAGAAGCAAATAACATCAGTATACTTCCAACTAACTCTGTTTTACATACACTAGCCAGTTAGTTTTCTGTTGCCTGCAAACCAGTTTTTTTGTGACTATCTTTGTATAGATGTATCATAATTTATTCAACTCTTTCTTCTGATGGATATTCAGACTGTTTGAAATTTCTGTTAAAACAATGCACCCAGGGGCGCTTGGGTGGCTCAGTCGGTATAGCATCCAACTTTGGCTAAGGTCATGATCTCATGGTCTGTGGGTTCGAGCCCCAAGACAGGCTCTGTGCCGACAGCTCGGAGCCTGGAGCCTGCTTCGGATTCTGTGTCTCCCTCTCTCTCTGTCCCTCCCCCATTTGTGCTCTCTCTCTCTAAAATAAAATTTAAAAAAAAAATGCTTCATTAACTCATGTGCATAATTTATGTACTGTGATTTCAGTACATAATTCTCAGAAGTTGGTTAGGTTATGTTCCTTTTTGAGATCTTTCACATAAAAGAAAAAATAAATGTAGACAGTTAAAAATCTACCATACAGAAAATATTACAGTTTAAAGTAAGTCAACTTCTTCCTACAACGTGTGTCTTCCCAGGGGTAATTAGAAGTTTCTTCTGAATCAGAAAAACTTCCCTATAAATGTTTTTAAACATATTTACACACAAATACACATAATTGGAATCTTACACCTTGGTTCCTCAATTTTTTTTCATTTAATGCTGTCCCTCACAAGTTTTTTTTCCCATATGAGCAAAAGGAAAAGAGTAAACCCACTGCTTTGGAAAAACTAAAGCCTGCAGAAAATTCACTACACTGAAATCAGTATCAGTAGGTAGAACTGGACCCGGAATAAAAATATCCTGATCTTGAAACACAGGATATATACTTCTTGAGTATCAGATACTGCTAGGAAGGCTACATTTGGGCTTTCTATAAAACTAACAAAGCTGGGGCACCTGGGTGGCTCAGTCGGTTAAGCGGCCAACTTCGGCTCAGGTTGTGATCTCGCGGTCCGTGAGTTCGAGCCCCGCGTCAGGCTCTGTGCTGACAGCTCAGAGCCTGGAGCCTGTTTCAGATTCTGTGTCTCCCTCTCTCTCTGACCCTTCCCTGTTCATGCTCTGTCTCTGTTTCAAAAAGAAATAAACGTTAAAATAAAATAAAATAAAAGTAACAAAGCTGGTTAGAATCAGTGTTTCTGCAATAACCCCAAGCCTCAGCACACTGCTTTTGTCTGTATATACATTTCAAGATGAATAGGGCTGGCCCTTGGCTACTTTAAAATGCCAAGGATTTATCAGCTGCATCTCCAATTTCAGCACCACTCAGTGGGCAAGGGCACAGTGCTATCAAATCAAAGGCTGATGTGAGATCAAGTGAATGCATTCCTCAAATGTGAACTTCTTCTAGAATATTTTTAAGACCTATCTCTAACTGAAATTTAAATAAAAATTTGAAGGGCAAAAAAAGACCTATCTCAAAGATTATAAGGTTTTTATTCCCAGTCATGTAGACTCTAGAGATACAGAATACAAGAGGTTAACAACATTCAATGGAAAATCACTGGGATATACAATTGAAGTAATTCAGGAGGGAGAGCTGATCTGGAAGAAGAGTAGCTCTACTTGTGAAATGGAAGACTGTCCTATGTTGAAAAACCTTCAGGCATTAATAGGATGAGAGACTTTTTTCAGAAAAAAGCCTTTAATCCTGTCCATGAAAACAGTCCTCTAGAACCCCAGGCCCAGCCCTAGCAATACAATGTATTTCAGTTTTCAGGAATTTTGATATATGGATGGTCTCTCCAAAGGAGACAGCTAGTTTAAAAAACATGTTGAGGTCTAGTTCAATTGCCGAAAACACAGCCCATGGAGAACTGGGGAGCAAAGGCACACTTAATGTGTCTCAATTATTGCTTCTTCCATCTGCATCATTTTTGGATCTTCTATCTCCTTCCTTAAAGCTCCCAGACACGCATCCATGCTTTTCCCAGTGCACCCACCACAAGTTCAGGCAGGGCAGAGCACGTACAAGCCACTCTGGACAGCAGAAAATCTATTAGCAGAAGGAGCCGTGAACCTCAGGTGAATAAGCCGTTTAGCCCTTAAAAACTTCAAAGTAAAAAAGTAATTGTGGCCATTCTTCAATCTCCTTCCAAAAGAAGGAATTCACCCTTGGGGAGCAATGGAGTCAGGTATATTATACTTGTATACGGGTACGTTAATAAGACTCTGGAACAGAAGGAAAGATTTTGAGGACTATGGCTTTTGTGGGTCACCCAAGTGTTCTGACCCACCTGCCAGGGAACAATTGCTAAATTCTAGGGTCTTGGAAGGAAATAAGAAAGGTAAATAAAAAGACAAGGTATGCTCTGGGCAGTTTTGTAGTATAGTCCAAATTTAACGAGGAAGATGGACAATGAAAACAACTACCATATGATCCAATAATCCCAGTCCTGGGTATATATCCAAAGGAAATGAAAAGCAGGATCTTGAAAAAATGTAACTCCCATGCTTACTGCAGCATTATTCACAACAGCCAAGACAGGGAAACATCCTAAGTGGCCATCAACGGATGAATGGATAAAGATGTGGCTTATATATACAATTGAATATTATTCGGTGGTAAAAAAAGAGAAAGAAATCCTGCCATGTGCAACAACAAGGATAGACTTGGAGGACATTATACCAAGTGAGGGAAGTCAGAGAATGACAAACACTAGATGATAACACTTATATGTGAAATCCAAAAAAGCCAAATTCCTAGTAACAGAGGATGGTGGATACCAGCAGGTGGGCATGGGAGAACTGGAGAAACGTTATTTAAGGAAATTAGGTAGACAAATTCTGGAGCCCAAGTGCACTAGGGATTATAGTCGTCAATACTGAACTTCAAGGTTGCCAAGAGACTAGATTTTAATTGCTTTCACAAAAAGAATAATTATGTGACACGATAGAGATGCAAACTAACTCTATGATATTAATCATAGGGTAATCATATTGTAGGAATAATCATAGAGTAATATTTAATAAATAATTGTATCAAATCAACATACTGTACCTTAAACTTACACATTATGTCAATTATATATGAATTAAAAAAAAAAAAAAAAAACACTGGGGCACCTGGGTGGCTCAGTGGGTTAAGTGTCTGACTTGGGCTCATCTCACAGTTCATGAATTTGAGCCCCGCGTTGGGCTCTGTGCTGACAGCTCAGAGCCTGGAACCCGCTTCAGATTCTGTGTCTCCCTCTCTCTCTGCTCCTCCCCTGCTCATGCTCTGTCTCTGTCTCTCAAAAATAAACAAACATTAAAAAAAATTAAAAACAACAACAACAACAACACTGACAACCTCCTTCCTGGATCAAAATGCCAAACAAAAGCTGAGAATGGGAGAGCTGACCCCAGCAAGCACTCACCTCACCAAGCTCCAATGTGAAGGGCTGTAAGGACTGGCTGGGCATACAGGTGGGAGAGACTCCACTGGAGGCTCTCCGTAGAGAAGAGAAGGCCTTGAAGCTTTTCTCTATGCCTTTAACCACAGTACATGGAATGCACTCTGCCTCCTTGTGGTTTTGTTACTCCTACTCATCCTCCAAGTCTCAGCTTAAATGTCATTTCAAGGAATTCTTCCCTGGCATCCCGATTCTACCCCCTACTCCATCAAAAATTTCACTGCCTACCATACCTCCTCTGTATAACTATTGAAGTATATCTGTCTCCTCCCACTCTAAGCCCTGAGATAGGCACCATGCCGGAATATTTTGCCATCTTCTTCCTAGTGCCCAAGGCAAGGCCTGACATTTAGGAATTTAACTCATATTTATTTAATGAGTAAAGGGTGAGAGCCAAGTAAAAACGACTATCATTGTACATATTTTCTTGATTTTGCCTATTAATACTGATGTAGCTTGATCCAGACCTGCCAACCTCCCATGTAATGACTATATGGTAGTCCCTGGGTAAGCCCAAATTTCCACTAACTTGAGCCCCTCTGTATCTCAGTTTCATAGAATGGTCCTCACAAACACGGTGGCCAAACTGCCCAGAGGTCTTCCAATCAACATTCAGGGTGAAATGATTTATAAAGGGTATTAGTTTGCTAGGGCTGCCATAACATATCACGGACTGGGTGCCATAAACAACAGAAATTTATTTTCTCACCATTCTGGAGGCTGGAAGTCCAAGTTCAAGGTTGGGTTCCACTGAGGCCTTTTTCCTCTTCTTGCAGAAGGCTGCCTTCTCACTGTGTTGTCACCAATCCACCAGCAGAAGAGAGCTGAAAATAATTAGTGACTTACATTTTCATCATGACAGAGCATAAAGCACATTTGTATAGGGAATCAGGTATCCCAAATTTTGATCTGGGCACAGTTATTGATAAATATCCATATAATTGACTCCTTGGTCAAGAATTTACTCAGTTATAAAATAAGGGACCAAGTAAGATGATCTCTAAGGTCTGTTTCTGGTCTAACAGTATAGCAATTTCCTTGGAAGAATCAATTTTCTATCCCAACCTTCTATAGATCTACTGACCCATGGCACGAGTTACCTGCTGTGATTTAGCAACCTGGTAGCTAACCTCTAACAGACTGGTCAGAACCAAAACATTTAAGGAATGGTATAACTAATTTTCTGGTAATACTACTACCTTTCTTCAGTTACACAAACCTGAAGTGCTAATAACCAACACAAATCAGCCCACCAAAGACGTCAGCTTTCCTTCTAACAAGGGATATAAATTTAACACACTGCCACAGATTTCCTTCATTTCCTACTATTTCGCTTAGGCTTAAACCAAATTTTTTAAATAAAGATTTAATTCTCCAGATTAAGTAATTTTATACCAATGACACTTCTGTCATGTCTTCACTGCTACGGTACAAATACAGTTGGTGAGAAAAAAAAAATCTGTTAAGAATAATGAGACTTTTTAGCATTTTTCTTCAAAATAGGTATTTATTATTTAAAAAAATGATACAAACTGGCATTTTATGACTCACAAATTATGAAAATTTTTTAAGTAATTTGTCTCAATCCTCCAAAAAACTGTGCTCTATCTTTACAGTGTTCAGTGGCAGTACATTTTGACGGTACAGAAAATAACTCCCAAACATTCCATATAACTTGTCAGAATGTACAAAGATATGGCAGAAGCCACAATCCCTACAGTAATTAAAAAAAAAAATTCAAGTGTTACTGAAGTTATATAAACAGTGAGGGTTACATAATAGTAAACACCTGTGTGTAATTCTGCAATGCAAAAATGTTTAGTTTTGTATGGTTTCGCTTTCTGTATGTTTAGTTTTATGTTTCAGCCTTTCCAAAACAAATGCAAAAGCTGAAAATTTTCCAGTTACCTAAAACTCCAAAAATCTATCGTGCTGTGAAAAAACTCTTAAAAGCAGCATCGTTTAAATAGTGGTTAACTCACAAATGCGTATGCAACCACCACAACTACCCTCACCGTTACTCACTGTGTCAGAGTCACCAGCTTCCGATCCAAGGCAGAACCAGATGCCGTGAGGAGTGGGTACGCAGCCCAGGGCATCGAGGTGCTTGCTTGGGGCGGGGGGAGGGTCAAAATGGAAGGAACTTTCCTTACAGAGTCCAAGAACCTGATTAAAAGTAGCTCCTTTAAAGTCTTTAATCCTTTTTGACCCCCTCCCTCCTCATCACTAAAATATAGATGGTACAAAGTCTTCACACAAAAGAGAAAATTTTTGACACTATTTTTACATCAATGCTAATAACAACCAATTTAGCAGAAACAACTAAAAAATGCAAATGTTAAAAGGTTTCCTTACTAAAGGGACTACAGATTAAGGTAGGCGCCAATCGGTTTCCTTAAAAAAAAAAAATTCAAACACATTTTAGAGATCAGATTTTAAAATCTAAAATCTGATTTAGAAATCAGATTTTAAAAGGCCTTTAAAGAAAAAACCCGAGGCCATTATATCCATATCTGATCTATGTAAATCACCCTATTTTCAAATAACGGACATAATTTAGTATTTAAATTAGCATTGTAAGCAATAAAGGACAAAAACAAAGTGCCTACTGAACTTATATACTTTATGACTGAGATGGTAAATGTGTGTTTTACCACAATTAAACAAAAGAAGGGTACCTTTTGATAACACATCAATAAGGACACCGTGAAACTGTGCAAAGCACACATACATACACCTCTTCTTATCAGAGTTGCACCGGAGACTGCTGCAGCAGGCTGGGCATACACACCAAAGCTGAGGCAACGCCTGGGCAGTACTTTGAGACCACACTGACCAACCCCCTTTGGCATCTACAGAAGCAGGGGTGTTCTCTCTCCGGCTGGCTGTTCCTTCTGGAAGAGCTCTTTGATCTGGGCTATTCGGCCATAGAGCCTCTCTCTCAATGGAGGGATGTGGTAGCTAGGGTCCAGGATGTTTGTTACTCTGCGCTCTCTCTCTCGCTTCCATAACTTGTATGGGTGGGGAGGAAAAAATGGTTGCCCTCTTTCTCTTCGAATCTGTAACGTGATTCCACTCACAGCAAGCATCCCCCATACTGCCAGGATAATAAAGTCTAAAAAAACAACAGAAAAGCAGTTTGAACTCTTGTCTCTTAAATACCTAACACAGCTCTTAACATTTAACTTCTCATAGTTTAAATCTGTGTCATTCTTTCTCAGTACAATTAAGACTTTTTGGTGAGTCTGACCAAACATGTATATCTCCTCATTTACAAACCAAGGAATAAATAAGGAAGCTACGGTTTTACATTTTAAAATAGGCATTTTATGCCTATTTATGCCTATTTATGATGGCATTTGAAAGTCCAGACAGGCTGTAAAGGAATCAGTTGTTTGGATCCTTGGAACTCCAACATTTTATGACCGATGCCCACAGGCATAGTTGTTTGTTGTGTTTTTCCGCAGGTGGGATGGGGAGAAGGCAGTCATCAAGATACACCTCACAAACATACACCATGGAACAGGAGATGTCACCTTGCTCTCTTTTTTCCCATTCCACTCAATATTGGGCCCCACTACACTCATAGGGTGGATTTAGAAATGCATGGAGAGAGTCAACACACTGTAACTGAGCTTCCAGTACAAGGCTTGGCAAAATTTCGTCTTGTATGTAAAATTTCCAAGACAACATGGATTTTGAGGTCTCTAAACATCAACCTCCTATCCAATGAGGGCAGGCTCAGCATAATAGAGGTAAAGATACTGCAATCATGATTGTGCTTAAATATTTTCCAACTCTAAGATATGCTTTTCCATCTTCCATATTTTAACATTTCTGAAACCAATATATCTTACACTCACAGTGAATACTTAATTTGGTCATTTTCTCTTCCTCAAAAAGTTAATGGAAAACCTTTAACAGATAGAATCTTACAACTGTGGAAATGGTAACACTTCTAGACTGAAAATCACTTTTTCACTTTCAATTAGCAAATTACATGCTTCTTTAAAGGAGGGAAACAAGGGAATAACTTTAAAAATCAGGCTGTCGTTCTCATCCCTCATCCCACCCCAATCTGTAAGGTGCCAAACAATTTTGTTCTCAGAATTTTTCTCCCAACTGGGAATCTGAACAGGTAACCATCCTGGTTGGGAAATTTCTTAACAAAATTCACTCAGTAGATTTTCAGAAGTGTGAACTTCCACCACTTACAAATTTAAATTATTTGCTCCTGTGGATCATAAGTTATCATTAACGGAAGGCTCTAATAGCATTTGTAGGGCGTGGGTTTCCTCCTTTTGTCTAGTTAGCCTTCTTTCAATTGAGTTACCAAGTGCCCTTGTTGGCACAGGCAGGCCAATATTCTTATCTGTCACTCCAGTTCTTGGATTTAGTCTTACCATTAGTTTGAAAAGGCACATTTGTGAAAGCTCTGTGGAAATCCATGTTGAGTGCTCTCTTGAGTACATTCAGAGTGATATGAGAAAGGCTTGTGTACAAGTAACTGTCAAAGGCCAAGACCACCGAGTAGGAGCCAATGAGTCCACAAGTCAGTATGTTCAGCTGTGGAAGAGTGCAAGAGTTTAGGCATGGCCACTGGTAGAACAAGAAATTGTTTCTATGCCTCATTACTGGCCTCAATCACAGAGAATCACTTCTCCCTCAGGGCCCATGAAACGGGATCAAGTCTCAGAGCTGCATAAAGGCTACCTGGCAGGTTAAACTGAAAACCACCTTCGAAACCCATAGTGAGTTCTCAAAACAGAACCTGATAGAAAATGTCTTCCCTGTGAAAGAACCTCAGCAACAAAGTCTAATTACACAAAGAATGCTTCTTTGGAGAGACCGCTGAAACTAAGCACTCACCAGGCTGTGAATTATAGTGAGCCCAACCTCTCTGCTCCCAATTGTCCAAAGCATATGGACGGTGGTGACCTGCCTACTCCACTTGATGAAAAACACTCTGTGATCATTATAATCAGAACTTCTCCCACTTTCACAGTAACAAGGCTATTTAAAATTAATCATCTCATGAAGATTGTCCTACAGCTCTCCCCAGTAAATATAACATGCAAAATGATGCAACACGTGAACAAGTGAAGGCCCGGGACAATATAGTGAATGAATCTCATTGATGAAACACTCACTATTCTTAAGCAGCCCATGAAAACTACTGGAATGAGGACAGCTATGCAGGAGAAGGTCACCCAGAACACACCATCATCATGAAAAATCTTTAGGTTCCCTGAAAAAGCAAGAAGAAATCAAGAGTTAACAACAGGTTTACCAAGTTCAATTTCATCTTCTCAACATCTGAACACAGACACACATGGAAAGTTTATTGTAACAACCAAGGCATAGGCTGGCATTTAGAAATGAATTCTGACTTTTTTGATTTAATGGCCAATACAATCCCCTTTGAAGGATGTGTCTTAGAAGGTCAAGGGGTGGGATCAAGCAGGTAAATGCTCTGCATTTACTCCCAGGGAAATGCAGAAGAGGCTGGACGAGTCTAAACTCTTCCATTCACTAGCTGTGATGCTGGGCCTCACATTCCTAACCCATAAGATGATTGAACTATTTTGTAGTTCAAACCATCCTCTCTTGCTCTATGCTTCTATCATTCTGTGATTTTGTACTGCAAAGTAAAAAGTGCAAGTAAATGGCATTCAGAGATAACTGTATGAAATCCCACCCAAAATGAACAGCAAAATCCTTTTACTAGATTTTTACCATCAATGCATTTCCTGTCCAGGAAAGACAGGAGCTAACCACTGACCGCACTCCTACTGAACCCTTCTCCAACATGCAGCACACCGGGGGTGACCCAGGAAGAATATATTAGAACTCCTATTTATAAATTAAGTTTAGAGGTGAGGGTATAAGCTGGACAATTATTTGATACTGATACTGACACCATCATTCAGCCCAACTGGAAGTGGCCCTGTATCTTAAGACCCATAAATCCCAGAAGAGGGGGAGTTCCATAGTAAGATCGGATCTTGGGACCACACATTCTGAGAAAGCGAACTGCAACGTGCTGCAGTGACGTGGATTTATGGGTCATATTCTGTAGTTTAACTCTATTAACCTTCACAAAATACACATGCAGCTTAAAAAAAAAAAAAAAGTCAAGGAATCCAGGGATTGAAAACAGTAGTCGCGATGCCAGCATGTGAAGACTGACCCTTTCAGAGTATAAGCTCTTTGCTGGCTACATAATAAGGTGAAAACAGTAGCAATTTAATTAGATCTGAGAAGTTAGCCACCAACTAAAATTTTAATGCCTAAAAATTTTTTAATTTTAATGCTTAGAAATGTTTAAAATTTTAATGCTTAAAAATAGGACTTTGCATCCACCAGAGACACTGATCCTAACTGTCCTTCAGCAATGAGTCAGTTCATAAACAAACACATTAACCAATCATCCCTCCAACCATTAACCAATTAAAAATTTAAAAATTCTAACCAATCATCCCTCCAACCATTAACAAAACAAGGGAAGGGAGCTTATTAAGTAGTTGATTTAGTGCTTTTAGAATAGGGCCCTGAATACGCATTTTCAACAAACCTCCCTGTGTATCTGTCCTTTAGGCAAATCTAAACATTGCTACTGAGCATCAGACTATCTAGTTTTTATATATAAAGGTATCTAGTTTTTTATATATATTGCTACCTGCAAGGGGGCCTGTGGGAATGAACTCATAGGTTTGCTAAAATCAGAACAAAGGCTGGAGCGCCTGGGTGGCGCAGTCGGTTAAGCGTCCGACTTCAGCCAGGTCACGATCTCGCGGTCCGTGAGTTCGAGCCCCACGTCGGGCTCTGGGCTGATGGCTCAGAGCCTGGAGCCTGTTTCCGATTCTGTGTCTCCCTCTCTCTCTCTGCCCCTCCCCCGTTCATGCTCTGTCTCTCTCTGTCCCAAAAATAAATAATCGTTGAAAAAAAAAAATTTTTAAAAATAAAAATAAAATAAAATAAAATCAGAACAAAGGGACTTGGAATAGTCAGTAAACACACAGGTTGTCAATTCTTTCTGGTCTTGGGGAAAAAAGTCTTCAGAGAGCCAACCACACTCTGTCATATCATGCATTCTTAAGAGGTGACAGCCTCTTATATTCTTATATCTAACATTTCCATCAACTTTAATCTGAGGTTGATATATGTAAGATATACACAAGAACTAAATTAACTTTAAGCTGAGGTTGATATATATAAGAACATTATCACAAGAAGGAAATAGCCTAAAAGAGTACCTTAAAATATAAATACTCTTTTTTCCTGCATTTTTGACAACAATCAGGAAATGTAAGTTATTATGCAACCACAAAGGGCAGTAGAATGTGCCACTCAGGCATGTGGATTATTTTGAGCTGAAGGCACTCAAGACCCAGCAGAGTCAGGAAAAACTTTTATTGCTTCCTTAACTGCCTAAAAGAATGTAAATAGGGATCCTGGCCCAGGGAGAGAACAATGAACAGAGATAACTATTTTCTCTGAAAGACTTAACTGCCTAGCAGGGCAAACATCTGATTACCAAATGTCTGCTCTTCTTATCTTCTTGTCCTCTTGCTGAATTGCACCTCCAACCCCCACCATGTGAAACCCTGCACGCTTACCCCATTTCTTAGCTCCATATGACACAGAGGTCTGAAACTGCCTGCCTTTGGGTCTCATATTTTTCTAGGTCTCCTGTATATACAAAATTAAATTTGTTTTTCTCTTATTAATCTATCTTATGTCAATTTAATTATTTTACCAGCCAAAGAACCTTAGAAGGATAAAAAGGAAATTTTTCCTCCCCTACAAAAGAAAGTTAACTTAGAAAAGTTAACCACATTCTAAAAATTGACAGAAACTGAATTACTTAAAGAAAAAAAAATCTCCGACACCATCCCTGTGCTACTGACCTAGAGGACAAGTAGGTACATTAGAATATCTGGGGTTTAGCAGACAGTGGAAATGAAAACCAGGAACAAAGCCCAGGTTCCCAACTCAGCTCCAACAGAGCCATGCCCAGTTCATCTGTGGGATAAACGGAGCTTCTGCTTAAGATTCACCGTGTACTGGTACTCCCTAGAGTGCCACATCACAGATACAAATTTCCAGAACTCAGGGTGCCTGGGTGGCTGAGTTGCTTAAGCGTCCGACTTCAGCTTAGGTCATGATCTCATGGCTCTTGAGTTCAAGCCCCACATTGGGCTCTGTGCGGACAGCTCAGAGCCTGGAGCCTGCTTCGGATTCTGTGTCTCCCTCTCTCTCTCTGCACCTCCCCTGCTCATGCTCAGTCTCTTTCTCAAAAATAAAAACATTAAAACAAATTTCCAGAGCTCTACAGGTAAGGCCCCAAGTCCCTGAGAGGCAGTAGTTGTACCTAGAGAGCCCAAATAAAGGTCTTTCAAACAAAAAACTGAACACACAAAACATTACATATCTCCTACCCAGGAAAGCGAAGAACATCACTGAGGAGACGAGGAAGCCCAACACTAATCCAACACACAGCATGCAGAGCAGGAGGATTCCAAATCTCCACCAAGCAGCTACCAAGAAAATCCCACCAACGCTTCCAGCGATGGCTGTCAGAATCAGACGAACTGCACAGAAGAAGAAGATGAACTGTTTGACCAGAGGCGGCTTTTCCTACCACATGCTTCAAATACACAACACCATCACCAGAGCCAACCTTAGCCTTTCTGTAGGCCAGGTACTGAGGGGGTGACATGACACCAGCATGGCG